ATGAAAAATAAATTAAGTGTTTGATGAATGATAATGAGAGATACTTATTTGAGGGTAGAAATTCAGGGAAGGTTTCTTTGAGAAAGTGACCTGGGAGATGAGAAGGACCTGCCAGGTACAGATTTTGGGGAAACGGCCTTGCAAGGGAAATGCTAAAGTTCTGGGCCCTTGAGGCCTTTAGGAAGAAACAGTAGATGTGCTGCTCAGAGGGGAAAGACATGAGGTATCAGTGAAAAAAAGTTTTTCATATTTTCCTATGTCATTATTATTGTTTTAGTTTTAAAATGCTGTTTCTAATGTCAAGGTATTTACATGTGGTTAGGTGACTTTCACAGGTCCTTAGAGTTCCAATTTTCCTGCATGAAATGTATCTTCTGTGGTCTCCAGCTCCAGTAGATACTGAACAATAGCTACAAAAGTGTATGTATATATGCCTGTGTATTATTTCCAGTCTTCTTCCTCCCTCAGTCTTAGAGGGAGTAAGTTCCAAAACAACAGCCTTGGGAATATCTTACTTTTCTTTAACTTTTATGCTATGGAGTATTCAAAGAGCACTGGAATGGCTAAGAAAGTATGGAGAAACTACCTTTTAATCACTTCTCCTAGTTAGATGTGCGTCAAATATAGCAAGGGCTCAGGGACTTACTCAGAGAATAACCAGTTTAGTGATAAAATTAGAGTTACTGCTCATGGCTCCAGAATGGTCTAGCTCTTGCTCACTAGATTACTTTGCTCTCTTTGTGAGGTGTATAAACAGAAAGTATGGTATTTCTGTTTCTGTTTTTCATTTGGGATAAATGAGGTCATAGAAGCTGTAAACCCTATGGCTCTTGGACAGTTGCAGTGACAGTCCATAGTGGTGTGCCACATAACTCTGCTCTTTTGTCACTTTAAATTTGTAATCACACATCTCACATAGGCACTCTGAAAAGTAATCCTACTATGCTTCCCTAGAAAATCATATTTGATTAATTCATTTTGTCACGCATACTCCCTCAAACTTCCCGCATGCCTTCTATTTCCTGCATTCTGGATCTGCCGGAGTAGACTAGGTAATGTTATAGCAAGAAATGACCCTGAAATCTCAGTGGCTTCACCCAACAGTGTTTCTTGCTCATTTTACTTAAATTCTGTGGGTTGGCAGAGAGTCACTACCCATTAACACAGTAACTCAGGGATTTAAGAGACCACCTGCTGGTTATCATGCCAAAGGGGAAAAGTATTCTGGAGGGTCTGGCACTGGCAGTGAAGTGCTCTGGGCTAGAAGTGACAGCCATCATTTTTCACTGGATAGAAATAGACACATGTTTTATCCAACTTGAGGGGGCCAGGAAGTGTAATTCTACGTTGGGCCCAGAAAAGCTGCGGGATGGGGGAGGAATTCAGAACTTTTTGGCAAAGAGCCCTGAAGACCTGCACACATTCTTAGCTAGTTATTCATTTTACATTTTCACTGACAAAAATTAAAGTAACCCCCTCACCTTTTAAAAAATCCTCTGAAAGCTATTCCTCTGCCTATTATCAATTTACAACCCCATCTGAATTTGCATGAATTTGTCTTCTTTCTCCTTCTAGCCTGCTTCAATGTAGGAAGTATCTTTTCTCCCATCCAAATGTTTGAGATCATATTCTCCGGTCAGCAACAAATTTTGAGCATATACAGTGGTATCCTACTAACTCTTTAACAGTTGGCTCTCTAAGGAAAATTCCAGCCTTGATTTTTAGTTTTTTCTGACTTGGGGTGGGAATGCTCCACAACGGCCAATTTCAAGCTCCATTTGTGGCGTTGCTGAATATGCAGTGAACAAGAGATGTACACAATAGGGGACATGGAGTTACTCCAGCACACCACTGATAGTTATTTAGAAAACAGACATACGTACTTTTGTCAATTTAATAATAGGATTCATATGTTATACATGTGTACACGTGTATATGTGTGTGTGTATGTGTATATACACATACACACACACATATGTTTTTATAAAGCTTGATTTCTTTTCTTTTTTTAAGGTTAAAAATAAAGCAGTTCTACTATCCCGTGCCTCCCAACTCTAGCGGATTGCCATACACACCCTACAGGGTGCATATACCTCACTGGGGAGACCATTGCTCTAGACACTCAGGGACTTTGCACCTGTAGTTAATCATCCTCTCTTCTGCAGCATCAACCTCGTCCTCTGTATCATACCACATGAGTATACTGACAAACTCTAGTGAACTCTTCTGTCTTCCAGTGTTAAAGATTGTCCCTTGATCCAGCATTTCCCTTCATCAATAGCTCCGTTTTTCTGTTCCCCTTACAGCAAAAGCACTCAAACAGACATTTCTACCTGCCATCTCCACTTCTTCTCTTTTGTTCCACCATCAGCTCTCACCCCCACCACTCTGCGGAAATTGCTCTTTTCCTTGTCATCAGTGATCTCTGTGCAGCCAGAGCTAGTGGATAATTTCTGCCTTCATCTTACTTGGTCTTTCAGGGGCAGCTGACAGAGTTGCCTACTCTTTCTTTCTTGAAGTGCTTCTCTCTTTTGGCTGCTTCTTCATTGATACACTCTTCTGGTTTTTTACCTCAAAGGTCTCCCTTGCTGAGCCTTCCTCTGTGATTCAAGAAATGGCTTTGGGCTCCCTTCTGTATTTGTGCTGTTTTCCCAGATCTTTTTCATTTCTGGGCCCTTGAAAACCAGCTGTGTGTGAAACTCCCACTTTGCTTGTCCTGGCCCCACTTTCTCCTCTGAGTATGTGTGTACCTCATGATGCCATGAGTTGCCCTCTTGCTGTTTCTACCTGAAGGTTTCATAGGTATGTTAATGACTACAATGAAGCTCCTCATTCTTCCCTATTCTCCCACCTCCCATTCCTGTTGTGTCCCAGTCATTCTTTAAAAAAATTGTAAATTTGTATCAGTTATTAAATCCAGAAATATGGTAGTCCTCTACAGCATCTTTCCTTTCATCCCTCATGTTTAATCTATATCCACGTACTTTTGCTCTGCTTATAAAATATGTATTTTATCTATATATATCTCTCTGTAATTCAGACCATCTCTCTCTTCTCTCAGCCAGTTGTAACAGCACCTAATAGGATTTCCACTTTCACATTTGCCACTTTCCAATCTATGCCTGATATTTTAACTAAGAGCAAGTTTTACATGAAATTAGTCTTCTACCCTAGAAGTCCTCCGGTGCATTTAGAGTCAAATCTAGCTTCCTTACTCTGACCTCCCCGGCTCTGTGATCCAGCCCCCGCCTTCCTCTTCATCCTCATCACATGTCCCTCTGCCTTTGGCTCTTTTCCTCTAATGGGTCTTTTGTCTCTAGAAAAGGGTGGTGTCCATCCTCAGTGCTTTCATGTGTTTTTGGTTCCTCTTCCTGGGAAGCTCTCTCCCTAGCTTGTCACAAAGCTGGTACCTTCTTTTCCTGAAGATCTCAGTTTCAGCGCCACCCACTTAGCAAAGCCCTTCCTGCTTTAGTGACAGATTTCTCACTGGTTTGTTTCTGTCCTAGCGTTTTATGCAATTTGGGATTGCTTCTTCTCATTTATTTACCTGATTTCATAGAAAGGTCTGTGAGGGCAGGAACTGTCCAGTGTAGTTGCTCCAGAGGTACATGTTGAATGAAAAAAAATGTATGGAAGAGTAGATGATACTGCCCTGTTTATCAGACAAGTGGTAATTATGGAATGAAGATATAGAAGTATAGTTTGTCAAAAATGTTGGGCAGCACAATACTAAGAAGGAACCAATTAGATTAAACTCTATAGGGATAAATGTAAAATCCTATGCTGTGGTTAAAAATAGTCAATTTCATTGTATATAATTAAGGTACCCTGGCTTGACACCAATTCATATGTCAAGTCCTAGAAACCAGAAATCATGGCTACAAAGGTAGTAAAACCCTAGATTGATCCATAAATCCATCTATTTTAATAATACAGGAGAGCATTATATTATAGTACCCTCCCAGTGACACCAGTAAAATTTTACACCTGTCTAAGTGGCAGTGGGCTATCTCATTCATTCACTCATTTAGAGCCCTTACAGAAAGCACTCATTTAGTGCTTTCTGGGCACTAGTATTATAGCTGTGAACACAATTGTTGTGACTGTTGGGTTCATGGGACTTAGCATCTAACTCCCAAAGAGAAGTGATTTCTCTTTCAGTGAAAGTGTTGAAGAAGTAACCGTTTGTCATTTATTTGGAGGTGGTGCAATCTTGTGGTTAAGAACTCATGCCCTGGAGTCTGAGTCTAGAGCCCCGTGGCTTCAAATTCTAGCTCCAGTATTTATTAACTGTGTAACTTTGGGAAAATTTAAAAAATGTCTCTATGCTTCAGTATTCTCATCTCTAAACTAGAGATAATAATAGTATGACCACATAAAGTTGTAAGAAGTAAATGAATTAATGTGCATAAATCATTTAGAATAGTACAGGGCACTTAGTAAGCACTTAATAAGTAGGTGCTAAGCAGTTAATTAATAAAATTGTGTTTTCTGGAGGGCCGAAGGCTGGAAGACAGATTGAGAGTGGGAAGAAGTGGTCATAGAGGAAGCCTGGGGAGATCAGAGGCCAAATTATTATTATTATTATTTTGTTTATATTAAAGATTGTTAATTGAGCTTGGATGTGAAAATCTTGACTGGAGAGTTGACAGCATCTGTTTTACTTATTCTCTTTAAGGCTAGAGAGATATGAATCCAGTTTAGAAATACCACCTGTTTTTTTCCCCCCCCAAATGCTTACAAAGAACTAACACTTTTGTAAGTAATGAAATTATGATACAGAGGATGAGATTGATGCTGCAGAAGGGAGGATGATTAACTACAGGTGCAAAGTCCCTGAGTGTCTAGAGCAGTGGTCTCCCCAGTGAGGTATATGCACCCTGTAGGGTGTGTATGGCAATCCGCTGGAGTTGGGAGGCAGGGGATAGTAGAACTGCTTTATTTTTAACCTTAAGAAAAGAAAGAAATCAAGCTTTATTTTTGCTTTGGTTTCGTTTTAGTGGCAGCTGAAGTATCCTAAGCTAATTCTGCGCGAAGCTGGCAGCGTACCTGAGGAGCTCCATAAAGAGGTTGGTGAGGCCTTCCTCACACTGCACAAGCATGGCTGCCTGTTTCGGGACCTGGTTAGGATCCAAGGCAAAGATTTGCTCACTCCAGTATCTCGCATTCTCATTGGCAACCCAGGCTGCACCTACAAGTACCTGAACACCAGGCTCTTTACAATGCCCTGGCCAGTGAAGGGTTCTAATCCAAAATACAACGAGGCTGACATAGGTGCCGCTTGTCAGACCTTCCTCAAGCTCAATGACTACCTGCAGGTAGAGACCATCCAGGCTTTGGAAGAACTTGCTGCCAAAGACAGATCTAATATCGATGCTGTGCCAGTGTGTATAGGTCCGGATTTCCCCAGGGTTGGTATGGGGTCAGCCTTTGACGGACAAGATGAAATGGACTTTAAGAACAGAGCAGCATACAACGTAACTTTGTTGAATTTCATGGATCCCCAGAAAATGCCGTACCTGAAAGAGGAACCTTATTTTGGCATGGGGAAAATGGCTGTGAGCTGGCATCATGACGAAAATCTGGTGGAAAGGTCAGCGGTGGCAGTGTACAATTATAGCTGTGAAGGTACAGTGTGCTCTGAGAAGAAGCAGCCCTTAATGTAACCTGACTGAGCTGGGTAGATGTGAGCGCATGTGTGTGCATGCATGTGTGTGTATGTATACAGGTGTCGTGTGCCCTTGTTGGGTCTGCCACACCCCTATAGCTGCAGAACATACCTGCTTCCCATCTAGCTGTGTGAGGCTCATTGTTGTACTGTATGCAGATAAAATATTTTAATGTGTAAGCACTACTGTCACTTTGTCTCTCCCATACCCAGGAGAGCAGCGCCTTGGATTCGCACAGCCAACTGCCTTTCTCTCAAGCTCAGAATTGATTGTACAGTTGCTATAATTAACTTGCTGATAAAGGACTGGGACAATAAAAATCTGTCAAATCTTTCCAGGTTCCCACAGGTGCACATTTCTAGTCTTGCCAAAATATTTTATTATGGTTGACATCACTGTCTTGATGGGAGTGATTTGTCAAATGTGGACTTGTTCTTGGCTTCACACAAATTTGACTACTGTCCTTGATTGCCAGGAGCAGTTGAGGTGGATTTTATAAGCAGACAGCCCTCTGTGTTCAGGGAACCCTCCACACTCCCAACAGTTTTGCAGTTGTAGCCCTAATAGGGTTGCTGTGGTGACCTTGTTCTTGCAGTTTGTGAAATCTGGTCCCCTTGGAACAGAGATCATAGGCTACCTTTTTGTGGCCTGCCTGAATTTTCCTTTTGTTGTTCAGTTTTAGTGTGCTTAGGGTCTCCATTGTTTTTCAGAACAGGCGTATGAAGAAGGGAGGTGAGCACATCGAGGACAGCATGACCATTGCAAGACTTTTCTTCTTTGCCCGATCATTTGAAAGAGGAATATAAGACGTAATATTAGTTTTTGTTTTTTATTTGTATTTATTTATGTTTGGCCTGTTTCTCTCTTGTACTTACTTGAAAGGTGCTTGGAAAAGCAAAGTTCTAGATATCCCATCAGAGAATAAACTGAACTTGTGTCATTATTTTCTGAAAACTAGTACCCTTTTTAATTGGATTTTGTTGTTATTTATTTGATTTAATTCTGGTTTCCTAAAATGACTGTTTTGAAAATTGGATTTTAAAAATAAATGCTCACGGTTCTTTTAAAATTTCTTACCTTTTCCCAGTCTCAAAAACTTCCTCAGAATAGCTAAATTATTTTCAAGCTTTCCCATATGTCTTCAGCCCCAAACAAGGAACTAATTTAGTGGTTGGCAATTTCACCAGTTTCCCTGGCATCTCAAATAGTGATGCTGACCTAAGAAAATTGCTTGAAGGAGATTTGATGCTGTCTTAATGGAAATCACTGAGATCCTCTGATCTTTAATAAGGCCTTGCCAGGGATTTAAGAACTCTCACATGCAAGAACTCTGATGTGAACTAACAATGGAATTTGTTAGTTTCTTTCTTAAGAAGGCAACTCTCTGAAACTGAGGCAGTGGTATGTGGTAGCTCAGACTGCCACAAAGATGTCTTTGTTCTCCCACATACTCTCAGCCCTGAAGTTTAATAGACCTATTGTACTTCCAGAGCGTGGGTGATCAACTAGTTTTTGAAACCTAGTATCTTCCAGAAAGGTGTTTAAATTTTTAATGAATAGTTTCTGTGGTCAGAGTAGTTAAGACTGATAGAGTATACAAATATACATATACATACATACATATACATATATATACATGTGTGTGTGTTTGTGTGTGTATCACACACACACACACACACACAAACACACACACACATAGTTTATCACCTAAAGGACGGAACCACAGAATTGGAATCTGTAAAGCAGTGTAATTCCTTTGTTTTCTGAACCCATCAGGCACGCGTATAAGCATTTTGCATGTATTAACTCATTTTGTTTTTACAACAACCCTATGAACGAAATACTACTGTTATCCTCATTTTATTGATGAGGAAACTGAGGCAGACAGATGATTCCCTTTAGCATGGTTATACAGTTGTTAGTGAGCAGAGATGGGATTTGAACCTAGACGTTCTGGCTTCCAGGTCCTAACAGCTAAGGCTTTATGAGCAGGTATTTCCTGTCCTTGCAGTACAGCTACCTCTGGGATTTGGGTTTTTAAAATGTCCACCTCTGGAAAGGTGAAGGGGGATGTTCTACTTGCTCTTCCTTGCAGATTGTGATACCTTCCTTCTCCCTGCCACGTCCCTTCTCTCTCCCCACAAGAGAGCTTTCTACAGTACTCTCAGGTGATTGGAATGCATTATATTAGTCTGTGAAATAGAACCTTTCTCTAGGTCTCTGCCTGTGTGTATGATTTTAGGTCAGATGGTTTACAAAAAATGTGCTTTGAAACTTTTTGGTGGGTGCATTTCTTCCAGGTGACAAGTATTAATGTTTATTTCTCTGGCTTCCTTATAAACCTGCCAGAGGTATGGTGAAGATGGAACGGAAGAGAGCCATTTGCATTAAAATTGTGGTAGGGGTTGGGAAGGGCTTAAAGGAGCAAACAGTAGAGATTTCAGGCAGCTGTACTGTTGCCTGTGTCCTTGAACATGTGTGCTGAGCAATTGCTAAGAGAAGTTCAATTACTAATTCTAGACAGAATGGAGACTCCAAAGGTAAATCAAATGCCCTTCTTGCCTTGAAAGGGTAGGTGAAGTAATAAGCAAGATATGTTCTTGTGATGATAATTATGAAATGTCAGATCTAGAAGGGACTTTTGAAATCACTTAGATCAAGCCTCTCCTTTTGCAGATGGAAACACTTGAGATGGGGAGAATGGAAATGACTTGTGCAAAGTCATATAGTTTCCCAGTTACAAGAGAGTGTTGCATGCCACAGGAGAAGTTCATGTAAAATACTTTGTGAGTTCAGAACAGAAGGGATTATTTCCTGCTGAAATTGAATTCTGATGAAGCTTAAGATCTCTCAGGAGTTTTCTTTCAATACCTTTTCCCAGTGAAATCTTCATGTAGATATGCAATGAGCCAGTCATCCATCTTTAGTTTATTTCTGTGAGTAGAGGTCACAGAAGTAATTTGTATAAGATATGTGTAATTATATACTAAATTTATTGGCTTCACAAGCAGTTCTAGTTAATAGATATCTCCAGTAAGAAGATTGAAATGGTACATTTTTAATCAGGAATGGCTTCAGGGAAACATGTGCTCATAGGCCAAGTATTTGATTTTTCAATTCTAGCTTTGCTGGCAAATGCTTGTTATTCCTAGATATAAAAACAACAACAACAAATTTTAGCAGGGAAGGCATTAACAACTCATTGTTTAAATAGTTCTACACCTTGTTCTTTGACAGGAGTACCTTCAAAAATGTCACATAACTAATAACTATTATTGGTTACCATTTCCGTTTGGAAGGAAACGTTTTCTGTGACATTGTCTTTAGAGGAAAAACCATTTTTAAGAATTTTAACTAGTGCCAAGTGTTGCAGGTCCTTGATATTATTTTCCAGCTCTCCCATGAAAGGCAAAGGAGGAAAAGAAAGAGAGGCCAATTCACGGTTTCTGTTGAGTGTGTGATGGGTTATAGTATATGATTTTTGAAATCATGAAGATCTAGGTTGTAATTGAAGCTGGAAGCTTTGGAGCAGTCATAATTTTTTAAGATGCTGTGATATTTAATGTTTTTCTTAGCCTCTCAGCATTGTAAGACCAAAGCTCATTTGGCTTTGTTTCATCATGTCATGCCGCCTTGTTAGTCATTTTTTTTAAATTTTTATTTTGTTATCATTAATCTACAATTACATGAAGAACATTATGTTTACTAGGCTCTCCCCTACCCTAAGTCCCCCCCACAAACCCCATTACAGTCACTGTCCATCAGCATAGTAAGATGTTGTAGAATCACTGCTTGTCTTCTCTGTGTTGCAAAGCCCTCCCCTTGCCCCCACCCCCCACATTATACATGCTAATCATAATACCCCCTTTCTTCTTCCCCGCACTTATCCCTCCCTACCCTCCCATTCTCCCCACTCTCTTTCCCTTTGGTAACTGCTAGTCCATTCTTGGGTTCTGTGATTCTGCTGCTGTTTTGTTCCTTCAGTTTTTCTTTTGTTCTTATACTCCACAGATGAGTGAAATCATTTGGTACTTGTCTCTCTCCACCTGGCTTATTTCACTAAGCATAATACCCTCTAGCTCCATCCATGTTGTTGCAAATTGTAGAATTTGTTTTCTTCTTATGGCTGAATAATATTCCATTGTGTATATGTACCACATCTTGTTTATCCATTCATCTACTGATGGACACTTAGGTTGCTTCCATTTCTTGGCTATTGTAAATAGTGCTGCAATGAACATAGGGGTGCATCTGTCTTTTTCAAACTGGG